ACTTTTATTTTTCAATGAGTATGTTTTAAAGAGCTAACTTTTAAAATTTCTACGAATATATACATATCTTTTTATTTATACTATATGGTTCATGTGTACTATTTAAGAAATCTTTGTCAAACTCAAGTTTACCAAGATTTCTCTGAGGTTTTGTTCTAAAAGTTGTATAAACTTAATATTCACAAATAGGGCTGAGTTATCCTGATTCCATTTTATATGTGATGTTAGGCAAGGGTGGAACTTCATTTTTCTTATGGATGGATATTCAGTTTTCTAGCACCACTAGTGTGCAATATTTTCTTTTGTCTTTGTATTATTCCCTTTGCATCTTTCTTTAAAACCAAATGTTTGGAGGTCTGTGTATTGACTCTCTTTTTTTTCCCCACTAATCTCTATGTAATTTTTTATATTAATGTGTCATTGTGCTACTGGTTGTCTTTTAGTGAGACTTGAGATCAGGTAGTGTGAGTAATCCAACTTTGTTCTTCACTTTTAATTTTTTTGTTATTCTTGGTATTTTCCATTTACACATAAATTTTTCAATTAGCTTGTCAATTAAAAACCCAAGTTTTTTTGCTAAATTTTTACCATATTTTATAATGCTGGTTTTCCTCCTTTATAACTGCAATTCCTTAAGGTATATACGGGATCAACATTCATATCTATTATATACTCCCATCTCCATATAAACTCTTTCTCAATGGAATTGTACCCTGCAAAGCCTTTATTCACATATCTGAAGTTTGTTTCTCTTGCCAGTATCTGTTTCTCACAACTAAATTCATATGTCCAATTGTCTAAGTCATGTTATATGCCATGTGTCAAAATTTCCACTTAGAATCTTATAGGAATCCTGTCTTTAACACATTCAAAATGAATACCATTTCTTTGTGCTTCAATCTATTACATTTCTTGTCTTCCTTATCAGAATTAATGGTGCTTCTATTTATCCATCCAGATGCTTCTGCCACATAATTAAGTGTCTTTCTTGATTTTTTTTTCCTTTGGCTGATGCTGCTAATTGTCTTGTTCAACACTTATTCTAAATCCATTCCTGGTCAGCAGAGGCTAAAAAGCTATTACAGCTAAGTATCTAGATGTGATTTGTCAGACTTGGAAACCACTAGTTTAGACAAAGTGCCTATATAGTTCTTCTGTGAAATATTCAGTAGGCCCATGTGAATGGGAATTAAAGGTGTGATGAATTGGATCAGCTTACCCATGATTACTTCATACTAATCATGCACTGTGCTCTAGAGTTTTTGTAATTTCCTGATGTTGGCCATGTTCCTTTCCATATTCCTGTTTCTTTTTTTTCCCCCCAGTCAAGTCTACTCATATGTAGCTGAATAGTTTTAAATGCTGTGAAGGAAAAAAGCAAAACTCGAAGTTAATTGTCTCTATAGGATTTTGTTCATTATTTACATAAGTATCTTTTCAGAAAACAATGAAGCCAGTAAGCGTATTATAGTAGATTTACAGGTGGATCAGAGTTAGGATGTAGACAACTTTTTTCACTGTTTAATGAGAAAGAAGGAAGATATTGCAAATGGAAAGAGGTATGAGTCAAAAGGATTTTTTGTATGTTATTTAATCGACTATTTTATATATTAATGAATATTGATCATATTTAAATAAAAATTAAATAGATAAGAGAAAAACCATAAAAAGGAAGTTTGCAACTTGCTAGAAACAAAGCCAGAATTATGCTTATTTTAGGCTTATAATTAGCCAAGAACCCAAAGTTACCAAAGATAATCAACTCTGACATAATGGGTATGTAACTGGGTCAACCAATTTAAAGACTGGAAGAAAATGTTCAGCTAACTGTGTGACATCAAAACAAATACTTGCATGTACACAAATATCTTTGATCTGTAATCATCATTCCTTACTTGTAGAGCCTATAGGATTTGCCTATGCATCGGTACTTCTAGGTTTAGTAAAGGTGAATTTGTGTTATTAAGAAATTGGACTTGAAAGCCTTTCTTTGTCCCTTATTAACTAAGACATCTTTGGCAAATTCTTAGTTTGTTTATCCATAAAACAGTAATAATATGTTTACCTTACTAATTAAATAAGCAATTAGAATAATTATATTATATAGCCATTCATTACTTAAGTGCAAACTAATATTATTATTGTTTTTCTATCTTGCTTCTGCCCATAAGTCTCTGAGATAAATCTTCATTTTCTTAATATATAGATGAAATATTTGAAGTATTTGGAAGTGAAAACTATCAAGTGACAGAGTTAGAATTTTAAAACCACATATGTTTAATTTTAAAGGTTACTTTTTTTTGGAATATTCATAATCTCGTACGTCAGAAGAAAAATATCAATAAACTAAAGCAAAACAAAGATCCCAGGTAATTTAAGGCAGAGAAATTATATATGTATCATGTGCACGTGTGTCTGTAAGTATGTTTAAACCAGGAGTAAATAGTTCTACTAATCCATGAATAAATAGTAAAACACAGACATTTCATAATTAAATATTGCTTCAGTTTGGGATATTCATATCCCCATTGTTGTTTTATGTCATTTGCTTCCTTGTAATAATTTACTTTTCCTGATTTTGCTCATATTGGGCAAAAATGAAAAATATGAATGAAAGTTTTAAAATATTTATTTACTGGTTTGATATTAAGAATATGTACTATGAGAAATAATATTCTACTACTGTATAATGTGAAGATCTAAAAAATGAGTCATGCTAAAATGTACTTCATTATCGCCATGTCTCATCTCTGCAGTAGTACTTTTGATTCATTTCAAAAGAAATCTTCACTTTTTCTTAACATCAGAGCACAAATAAATTACTATATGAAAAGAAATTGCTACTCCTTTTTATAATCTTTGATACAGTGAATATACCAAGGTGAATGGAAATATCATTTGGAAAATGTTTTATGAATACATTATTAACTCGTTCATAGATGAAATTTTAAAGCTTTTTATCAAAAATACAAAATGTGAAATACTTTCCTAAAAGGAAAAATAAATGCTTTTTATGTAGAAAATGCTACTGGAGAATTTTGAGATAATGGCCCTGCAGTTTTTATTTCACTAAGTTCATAGGATATTTCCCTTGAGTCATGCCAATTTAAAAAGGTGCACTTTCACCAATTAAATTGTACCCATAAGTATTTTATGACAATTTAGCATAATTTCTGGAAACATTTTTATCTATTATCTTCATAATCATAACAACTATATTCTTATAAAAGTTACCATTTTATGTGGCATTTCATCAAATACAACCCAAAACAAGCAATTTGTACTATAAGGTAGACCTTGTAAACATGTGGCACCTGCTAGTTTAATGTACAAGGACTTAAAAAAATATTTATCTTTCTATTTTTTATAAATACTTCAAGGTGCAATTATGAGACCATTTTGTGGAGTATGTTTGGAAGAGCACTACATTCTCTGAATATTTTTAGGCTTTATTTAAAAAAATAGATCTACGTCAAATAATTTTCTACATACGAATTCTCTGTCTCCAAATTTATGGGCTTCTAGTAAGATATTTTAGAGACTGTTTGATTTCTTCTTATGCCAGTTCTTCCATTCTAAGTTACAGCCATTCAGGCCATATTTGAGTTCCTTTAAAATGCCAAATTTTGTTTGTTATTTGGAAGTTTTCTTGTGCTATGTGTCCTGTCCATGATGTTTTTCTAAAAATTTTGCAAATGATTACCTCCTACTCATCTTCTTTTCATCATGTTATGTGGCATATTCTTAGCAAGGTCTTCTCTATCACTAAAATACACTTAAGTCCCCTTCCCGCATAGCATGGTTTCTGTACTTTTATTGTATTGTTCTTAGCATAATCTTTAGTTTATATTTGCAAGCTTGTTTTGTTCAGAGTAAGTCCCTGTCTTTTTTAAAAATTATTTTAGAAATAGAAAGTGTTAGCAGGGGAGAGGTGCAGAGGGAGAGAGACAGACAGAGAATCCTAAGCAGGGGCTCGATTTGTGGGATCATGACCTGAGCAGAAATCAAGAGTCATTCAACTGACTGAGTTACCTGGATGCCCCTGTCCCCATCTTTATTTAATTATCAAACTTCAAATAAACTAGACTATGATTATTTGGTTCACCACTGTATGTCCAATAGCTAGTAGTGTACCATTAATACTTATTAGTTGATAAATGAATAAATACCTATAAATTTTTTATGCCTTAAAAAATTGACCAGAGGGGATTTTTTCCATAAGCATGTATAAATCTAGTATCCCAAGGGACATTCTTAGAATGAAAAAAAAAAAATACATTCTTTAATTCTGAAAACAGGTGTACTTTATAAACCAGACACATATTCATTAATAGGAATTAATTCTCCTTTCTATATGTTAAAATGTGAGAGGTGAAACATATTTTTCTATTCTAAATGTTAATATTCTGTAAAGAGGAGGCAGGGGTTAGTTTTGTATTATACTATGCTTACTCTAAAATAATATATAAAAAGGAAGAGGACACATATAATATCTTGGTTCTACGTTTTCAGAAAAGTAGTAAATGACTCCAACCTTCCATAGGCTTCATAAAATAGATATCATGCTTCAATTAGTGTTAAGACTGTAATCTCACTATTTGTGGAAAATGTATTTCAAACTTTGAAACTGGAGAAGGGAGAGTAGAGAAACTAGGTTTTTCTGCGAACAACTAGAAACATCGAGATAAAATACCTAACTCATATGTATGAAGGCAGGGGAAACTTGAAGAAATGAGAACTGGAGGTGCCAAGACTCCAGAGAAAAGGCAGTCTGAGAAAAGTGGATTTGCATTTGGAGCTGTTTTCATACTGGTGACAGTTTTCAATTTCTGGAAAGGTAAAAAGCTAAAGAAACGGGGTCACATCTGGGAAAGACTCCTCAGAAAAAGAAAGCTTTTGGAGCATAATATTGTGGAATTTTTGGCATCAAAGCTTTTGGAAACTTGGGAGAACCTCAAATACTGGCACTTTTATCCTGAGGATGTTTGTGACTGTGCAGGATAAGAAGCTAAGAACTGTTAAAAGATTAACTGAAACATATTAAAAAATGTTAGACTTTGAGCAAAAATCTGTTTGGATGTGGCAGCTACAAACTGAAAGTGGTTAGGAGGGTTCTGGTTGCAGGAGCCAGGAGAAAGACTTAAACAGACAAAGTGCAGAAGCAAAGGTAGGAAATGATTTCATTGGTTTATAGCATAAAGCCTAGTCGGTTGTTTGTGATTGGTTATCCTTAATCTTATTTATTTATTTATTTATTTATTTATTTTGACTGTGCCTGGGTGGCACAGTCTCTCTCTCTCTCTCTCTCTCTCTCTCTCTCTCTCTCATACACACACACACACACACACACACACACACACATAATAAACATTAAACACAAGATAACAATAATAATAAAAAAAAAAAAACTTTTGATTTTATATCCTTGAAGCAGTTAAAGGCTTAGGTTTTGGTTTACTTACTCATCCAGGCAGTAGAGCTGTCTCAGGTTAATGGCCTCCTTGTTTAATTAGTTTAACATAACCTAGCAGAACATTCTGTTAAAGCACAAGTTTCAGCAATTTTGAGAACCAAGTGTTAGACTTTAGAACCTGTGAGGAGAAGTCCCAGAAAATATGAAATCTCAATTGAAAATAATAGTCCAGAGATGAACCAAAGGCACCCTGAATCTCAACTGAGCTCCAACCCAGAATTAAATCTCTACTTAATTAATATGATCAGCCACTATTTTATTGTCTCAGGAAGGAGAGATATCATAAAGGAAGAAAACATCAGATGAATATTTTTATTTTAATTCACAATCAGCAATATTCTATCAAAAAAAAAAGACTAACATGTCAAAGGCAGAACACAACATTGCAAAGCAAGAGAAAACAGGAAATAGGAATACAGTCACATGAGATAAAATTAATGAGACTAGATGACCAGATCTTTAAAATAATGTAGATTAAATGTTAACAAAATTAGGGGAAGGAATAGGTAAATAAAATAGATGATGAAAAACACTTCATCAGGATATGAAATTTAACAGTTACATAGAAATTCTAAAATGAAAAAAAATATATAGTACCTGAATTTATAATCCTCTAGGGGGATTTAAATGAAGATTCACACCACAAAAGGCAAAACTATTAAGTAAGAAAACGGGTTGACATATAAATTAGAGAGTAACTAGAGAAAAAAAAGAGCAAGGAAATTCAGTATATGTAACAATAAGGTGAAAAACAAAGACTTAAATAGGTGTAAATGGAGTTCTAGAGAGAAAGTAGAAAAATGAGGAAAGAACAATACCTAAGAGGTAGGTGTCTCCAAATAGCCAGAAACTGGTTAAAGAAATCAAATCACAGAGTTAAAGGCAATGATCAAGATAAATTCACAAAATATAAGATTATAGTTCAGCTACTGAAAACTAAAGACAACCAGAAAATCTTACAAACAGCCAAATAGGACAAGACAGAACAAATAAAAACATTACTTTTGAAAAATCAACAGCAAATAAAATGACACCTTTAAAGTGCAGAAAATAAACATCTACAATTTTATTTCAAAAGACAGTATCTTATACATCAAAATTAAAATGAGATTTTCAGCAAATACTAAAATATTTTGTGTACAAAAATGTGCTCCAAAGCAGATCTTTTAATAAAGGCATTTTTTTTATAGAAAGAAAATAATTCCAAATAGGAACATAAAAACTGATCTTAGATGGAAACAAAAAATGATGTAAGAATAAATATGTGGCAAATAAACGAAGATGAAATCTTTACTGCCTGGTCCAAAACAGTAATAGAAATGACTGGTAATGTTCACAATATAAATCCTTAAAACTTACTTAAAAGGCTAGATGATTTCAAAAAAATAAAATAAAATAAATAAAAAGCTAGATGATTTGCTAGAATTTAAGTATGCTTGGAAAAGTGGAAAAAGTAATAATCTGCATTAAACTGTAATAAGGTATTGTCTTGTAATCTTTAAAAAAACTAAATTGTAAAAATTTCATAACTCACAAATTACCATTGGTAAGGGAATAATAATTTATTTAGGTATTAACCAAAAAATTGAGGAATGAAAAAAGAATATTTAAAAAAAATGGATGGAGTGAACAGAAAACACTTTAAGAAACATGTTTGGACTTTATGCAAAGATAAAGTACAAAACACAGCTAGATGCTTTTTTCAATTGCAATATGTTAAAGACAAGGACACAGAAAAGTTGAAATAATTATGATATATGGTGTAAACACTAAACAAAGATATTGTAGCTATAGTAATAGTAGCCAAAGCACTACTAGAAGACAGAGGAATATTTTGTAATTGAAAGAAATTCAACAGGAACATATCACAATTCAGAAGTAATATGCACAAGTTAATATAGATATTAAATATGTAAGCCCCAGATACAAATACATTATGTATACATATATTTATCATATACATATCATGTGCATGCATACATTTTTTTTTAATGTTTATTTATTTTTTAGAGAGTGAAGACAGAGCACAAGTAGGGGAGGGGCAGAGAAAGAGGGAGACACAGGATCCGAAGCAAGCTCTAGGCTCTGGGCTGTCAGTATAGAACCTGACACAAGGCTTGAACTCAAACTTTGAGATCATGACCTGAGCTGAAGTCAGATGCTTAACGACTGAGCCACCCAGGCGCTCTGCACATACAAAATTTAAATGGCAGATACTCATATGCTACTGTTAATAGCTAATAAAATGAAGAGAAAAATAATCAGTAATGCTCTAGTAGATCTGAGAGTTCACTCACCAAAATTGATGTAAGTATATTAAACTGACTTACATGCAACAGGGGCACATTTTTGATATACAGGTGCACATGGAAAATTTATCAAAAGTGAACAAAGATATTACAAATCAAATGTTAATAAATTTCAAAGGATACATAGCAATCAATATTTTCTGTTTATAATGTTATTAAAATAGTAACATAAAGTAAACTAGAAAATTTCCCAACTACTTGTAAAAGGATATTACACTTCTAATTAATTAGTGGCTCATAAAAATAAGTCACAATAAAAATAATAAAAATATATCTTTAAATATATGGAAAAATGTTACATTTTATTAAACTTTTAATGTGCAGGCAGAGCAAAGTTTAAAAGACATTTCATAGCTCCCAATGCATATATTAGAGAACAAGAAAAATTATCACTAATGATACTTTGACAATATCATGATAATTGAGTAACATCAAACCAAAGGAAAGAAAAGATAGGAGATAATAAAGAACAGAAATGAATGCAATAGAAAGCAGTTGATTGACATGGAAAATCAGCAAAGTTGAAAGTGGATTCATTGAAAACCCAAACTTTATGACCGCTTGTAAGACTGAACAGGAGTAAATGAGAAAACAAGATTGTCCAAAAACAGACCAACCCATATATGGTTTATAATTTTTACTTAAGCTGCCAATGTTACTTAATAAGAAAAAATGGCATTTTATTGACATATATTTGATTTAAAATTATATTGATTCTGATCTCTTTAGATGTGTTAAGCAGTGTTTCCTTTTATCTTATCCTTTGGAAGAGATTGTATAATTGGTAGCATTTCTTCCTTATATCAAATTGTAGAGCTAAAGTTAAAGACTGAAGTATACAACTTCTAAAAAAAACAGGAAAAAAGGTAAGTTTGCAGTTATTTCCAGGCACAAATTTCTAAGTGGGGTACAAAAAGCCATAAGAGAAATAGGAGGAAAAAAACAATAAATTGGACTTCATCTAAATAAGAAAGTCCTTTTTTCCAAAGTCTGTGTTAAGAAAATGAAAGTGTAAGTGACATACTGGGAGAAATTACTAGTGGTACATATATGTAACACAGGATACATATCCAAACTATATAAACAACCCCAATTTAAAAATAAGACAGCACAATATGTATTTTCAAAATAAATTAACATGCAGCTCAGGGGAAAAAAAAAAGATACATTGATGGTCAGTAATTACATGAACAGATGCCAACCTTCTTAGTCCTCTGATAAACCCACACAAAAAAAATATTATCACACAGAGTCTAGAATTGCTAAAATGAAAGAAGATAATTAAGTGTTAAGAAGTTCTGCAATCTGAGCTCTCATAATTTTCTAGTGGAAATGTAAATTTGCATAATCTCTTTAGACGATCACTTGGCAGTTTTAATAAAGTTAAGCATAAAATCACTGTATGTCCTTTTTTGGACCTGTATTCCTATTTATTTCTGCAAGAGAAAGAAAATAAGTATCTATGTAAAGTATTATACATGAATGATTTCTGCAGCTTTATTTAGGGGCCAAAACTGGAAAAATCCAAATAACCATGATCAGGTGAATGGATACACACATTGTAACATACCCATTTAATGGAATATTATAAACTTTTGTTAAAATGTGTCATCTCAGATAAATCTCAGAATCATGCTGAATGAAATCAGACACAAAACTAATTACTGATTCAAGATTTTAAGTTCTAGGAAAGTTAATTCTAATTCATTATAACAGCAGACATCAGGGATTGCTTAAGGTCAGGAATAAAATCTATTGATTTTTAGAGATAAAATTGGGTGATAGAGAAGTTTTATACTTTGAATCTAATGGTGGTTAAAGGAGTATAGACATTTGTCAAAAGTCATCATACTGTATACTGATAGGGTACATTATACTTCATATAAATTTTACTCAGTATAGTTTTTAAGACATTAGGATATAATGAGGCGTTATGAAAAAATTTATGATAATTCTGATAATTTAGAACAATTGATCAATTTTTTTGAAAACCATAATTTATAAATAGGTATGCAGAAATAAATATAATATTTGAAACATCTATTGAGTATAGATTTGTAAAGGATAGTGTAAGCTTAGGTAACTTAAACAGTGAATTTAATCTTTGCAAATCATAAAGGAATATTGCATTCTTTCAGAAACTTATAAAAAGAACAATTCTGTATTTGAAAATAGTTAATATATCCAGCATATATCAGGTAACAAGTCTTGACAAAGACATTAGAGGCAGAGAAATTAAAAAAAAAAATCTCTCTCAAACATGGATGCAAAAGTTTTACGAAAAAAAAATCACTAAATGAATCTGGTGATATATGAAATAATAAAATATCACTAACAAGGGAGGTTTATGAATGCAAATACAGATTTACACTTGAAAATCTATCA